AAAAACAAAAAAAAAAAACGAAAAGAGAAAAGGCTCGGCTGGTGTAGTTGACAGTGGTAAAGGAGTTGCATTTTTTCCTAATTTCAGCATCGTGTATTAGATGAGAGCATTTTGTCCAAATATTTTTTTTCCACATTAAATAGTTGCTATTTTTCTATGGATCTATTTTTCTATTACATTTCAAACGGTGGCTAAACTCTAATAACCGGTCCAAAAAGTAATTATATATCCTAGTTATTTTTTCTAGAAAAATATTTTTACAGGACTATCCTGGAGAAACAAATTACCAGCCTCTACCCAATTACAAAATTCACTCACTAAAAAATTACACCACACAATTTTGTACGTAATTGTAAACCCCGAAGGTATACAATGTACATACCTGCTAGATATTTTATATATTTTTCCTAAATATGTATGAAGTGTAATATTTTTATTTTGGGTAAATATATTTTTCCCACATGGACATTCTAAACGATGTTGTTGAGATGATAGGACTAAATTACAGATGATACTATTCCTTTTATTGTCAAAAGTGACAATCAAACATTTATCAAATCGTAATTCCTTAATTTTTTTGTATAAATTATACTAAACACTCTTATAGTATCACTCAATTCCAAATACCACTTTTTTTATACGGAGTGGTACTAAATTAAATTCAAATTGCAAAATCATTATTCCATTTGTATAATTTTCTGTATATATATATGTGTCCTAAATTCTATGTTTGCAACTTACTAGTGGACCCTTTGAATAGTTGGGAATGTAATGACTGAACTTAATGTTATAATTACCAACTTTCTTGACTAAAATGGTGTAACATATAACTTTTTCACATTGAACATGAGCTCAGATTAAAGAGAGAGATCCATTGCGATAGATTGATGGCTAACATAAACATCGATCATTTAACTGTGATAAATTCTTTAAAATACTGAACAACTTTGAATAACTATTACATATACAGATTTATGCAACTGACGTTAGCCACTTGAAATTGAGCAGTAGTAGATGATGTTCTTCGGTAAAAATGTAATGGAACTCTGTTATGTGGTTAATTTACTTTTGCACCTGTAATGCATGTTACCTTTCTAGAGAGGATAAAATTTTACTATAAGCTTTTCTTCCTTTTACTTTTATAACCCTTCTTTGTGTGAAGAACTAGAAAGGTAAATCTTTTACTAGTTTAACATTCAACTCTTCTTCTATGCAAAAGATAATGCGGTAAAAGGTAAAAAGTGAAAAAGGGTTGGAAAAATAACTCAACGAGCTCGTCCAAAGCACTGTAGATGGTGACAGAGTGTCATTATTTCATTTTTCAACTACGTACAAGCATTGAATATTGTAAGGTAGAGCAATATGTACTATGTCCTCAGATAATTAAGGTTCACTTTCATCAATACTAGTTGTCCTAAATCTCAACCAATGCTTTTATCCTCCTTGTTGTTGCCCTTTTCATACCTTCAATTAGTCAAAATGGGTAAAAGAAAATAATTAACCAACCATATTATCCACTAAAAAATGGGTTGGATAACGAACTTTTAAAAACGGGTCAAATATGGATAAGAACCATATTATCCATTTAGAAAATGGATAACCAATGGTTAACCAATAGATAACCAATGAGTCTCACTTTTACATTTGTAAAACCTCAAATTGGGGTTCCTCAAGTTAGAGAGACTAAGAATTCTCCCAAAATTGATCATATGCAAGAAGTCATGGATAATATGGTTACCCATATTATTCGTCAGTTAACCCGTTTTTTTATCCGTATTAAATATGGGTCGGATAATTTATCTGCTTTTTCATTACCCATTTTCAACCCGAACCATATCCAACCCGCCCGTTTGCTACTCCTACTTTCAATCAAACGCACGCCAAACTAGTGTTCCATTTCTCCCTAATTAGCAACAATTTATGAGACTACAGACTACAATTCATGAAGGAGCAAGATGAATATTTTACGGGGTTTCGGTCAAATTTGCACGAATCTCGACTAATTTCACGCATACCTACTAACGGAAGGAGACAAGATTATCCTAAGGGTCTTTCTCTAGAGGTGGATCTAGAATTTGTATAACATGAATGAGGGCACCACTAAAAAGAAGAAGAAAAAAAAAAGTATTAAGTGAGAGTTGATCCATGCTACTCTTCGTGAATAACTCAGCATTCAACCAAGCGAATCATTTAGTCTCTTTGGAGCATGGGTACCAACAGATAGTGTTTGATCAATTCTAAAAAATATGTACCTAGTTTGACGGAGAGACCATGAGTCCACGTACCTCATAAATTAGGCTATAGATCCCACCCCGTCTCTCTCAAAAGACACAACTTTCCTATTCATAGTACTTGTTCTCACCATTTTATTCAGCCAAGCTATTATTTCCTCAATCCATAACCACAAGATTTTTCAATACTTAGTTACAATGCTACTTAATTGCTTCATGATGATTTGATTATTGAAGTACAGAGTGTAAAATGCATTCAATATAAAAGCAAGGACAATGGAAGAGAGAGATTTCAAGAAATCTTATGGCTATTGCAAGATTTGAATGCTATCATGTATTTAGAGGGGGTCCTCCTTTAGAAGTGATGTAAGTTGCAGCAATTTAACATACATTTCTGTACCTCTATTTACAGCATTTGCAGAGCTTCCTCCCTTAACATGTACTTACTAACTTGCTGCCACAACCCCGCAACTAACATGTGGCAGAATCACATGGTTTAGTACAAATTATCAATTATTGTTAGATAAAAGTTTACTCCCGCTATCTAACTTCTTTAATTCACATTCATTCTCCTTTATTCTCAATATCTTCCTCTAATCCCCACCTTCCCCTCTGGTGTTTTAGGTGGTGGTAGTTACAGTACTCCTCGGTTCTATTTTAAGTGACATTATTATTTTTTATTAGGCAGTTTTTAAAAAAAAATGATATTTTTCTATATATATTTGATAATTTAATTTTAAATTTTTAATCTTACCTTTAATTGCATATTTTTATAACCATAAAAATCTCATGTTATGTTTAACGCAACAAATTTTAAAAGATTTTATTCTTTCTTAAATATCATTTCCAGTCAAACTACGTTGATAGAGTATCATTTTTAGTGGCATTCCTATTTTTCTTTTTCTTTTTTAAACTAGTATAAGACCCCCGCAATACGCGGACAATTCCAAAAACTGATTATCATGTCAAAATATAATTTAGTTTATTTAAGCACGTTAGATCATATAGGTTTTGTAAAATTCTAACTATCAGCTTGTTTCTTAACTCAATCTGAAAATCTTTCATAACTACTTAATATAAAAGATTTAATTTATTGATTGATTATCACAGTTAATTAAGTAAATATGGTCTCTTAGCTTATATTACAAATATACCATCATTCTGTTGATATATCATATACGATAAAATCATACCATATGGTATATGTTGTATGATAAGAATATATGTATCATAAATATGTATAATACCATATTATAGCAATAGCGCATATAATAAATCATACAATATATGGTTATATGGTATATCATGCGCCAAAGTTTAATTAATTGATATATTATAAAATAAAATATTAAAAATGGTAAAATTTTATCAAGATGGTACAACTTAACTTTCAAAAGTAATTATGGTATTCGTTAAAAAAAATCTTTCCAGTCAGTTATGTGAATTTTCCTCACAATTATTTTTATTAAAATACTTTGAAAACGAGTTATATAGTTATCAAATAACTTGTATGGTCTTATTTTTATTTATCACATTATCCAATGCATATTATTCTAACATGGTTAGTATGTTGTTGAATAAGTTTGTCATATTTTTAATATTACAGTCCACTACATTCCTTTCAATATAATATTAATATATATTTTTCTTACTCTTGAAATATATATATTTTTATAGTTCACAATTCTCCAATTGTCTATATTTACCAATACTAAGTGATATTTTTGAGTATTGTTCAATTACTTGATATTATTTTTTAAATTTCAATGTATAGACTTCTCTCACTTTATCTCTATCCTCGTATTTTAAAAATGTTTTCTAATTTGATAGAGTATTATTTTTAGTGGCTTTCCTATTTTTTCTTGTTCTTCCATAAATTTGTTGTTGGAGTAAGACAAATGTTCTGAGTTCAAATCTCTCTGTCACTATTTAGTATTTACCAAAACGAATTTACACGCGTTTAGCACATCAAACAATCAGGGCTCAGGACGCACGTGAGAGGGTGTCTTTTTCAATACTTATTCGAGGAAGATTTTAAAAAAAAAAAACAATTAACGGAGGAAAAGACAGAATTTGGAAAAGAATTAGTCTAAAACTGGAAATTCAAAAGACTGAGGCATATCGACAAGTTGTGTTTCTGCCAAGGAGTCGTATCTAAATTAGTAGCTTGTTTTCAAGTTTCAAACAAGAAGCTTTTGACTTCATACTTTCTTCTTTGAGCCTTAATTAGATATCACCTTAAATTTTAACTAATTAAACACCACAAATGATCTGTAATTTGATAAGTATAGTTAATTCCATGCATATGCACTTAACTATATATGGAATATTTACTCTCTCTAAGGTGAAGAGAAGGAGGAGGAGAAAGTGGAGGAAGAGAAAAAGAAGAAAAAAGGCAAGTTGTTCTATTTATGAACTATCAGAAAACGTTATTCTTCAATTTATAGTATATCTGATGTAGGAAACATAACCTAATTAATATTCCCTCCTTTCTTTTATACCCTTGTTACTCCTCGTCCCATGCATTTTTACTTTCTTCAGATCCAACAAATAATTCATATATAGCATATATATATGCTTAATGATTATTATAACAATGGCCAGACATTCTTCAAAAACTAGCACAAAGTCTCAAAAGAAGTAGATGGGCAATCAACTAACTTAGAAAAGATTGTAGCTAAACACTTTCAAACAGTATAGAAATAATTAAATTAGACACTCAACAAAACAAAAACAAAAAAAGAGAAATTATTCCTACTTGGACGGTCTTTACAAGTGTAGATCTAAACTCACATGATCTTGAACTCCTTCCTTCAGTTCATACCCAAATCGGCTTAGAGAAATCGAGCTGCTATTGGTCTTCAAATTTCCATTAACATACATTGGCAATGGATCTATCATCTTGTAACGGTCACGAGCATAATTAGAAAGAGGAGAAGAATGACTTCTCCAAAAGACCAAGGGACTAATTCCATTTATAGTACGAGTTTGAGAATAATGGCTACCATTATAAACATGACGACTACTTCCATAAAAGCTATGAAAATAATTGCCATGAACGTTTCCACTAAGTTGAGCTCTTTTGGCATTTTGACGTTCTCTTTTATGTGCATTTTGATGACCTCCTAATGCTTGTGAAGTTGGGAAATTCCTACAACAATAGTTACATACAAATTTTCGGTTGTCGGAGACATTGACACTACTGTCTTTTGATTCTTGATCATGACTATGGTTATTGGTATCGACAGATTTAGATTCCTCACGACCACCTAATTCTTTCCCAAAAAGCCTAATGGCTGCAGCCTTTTCTTTTGTTGGTGCTGGCCTAATAAAGGGCAGTTGGGAGAAAGATTCCACGTTCATGAAATCGTGAGTTTCTATATCTCTCCTATCCATGAATTTTTGTGAGGTTTTCTGAAGAATGAAATGATGAAGAGATAAAGGGAGCTAGATAAGGGTTTGGAACAAAAGTGAGAAGAAGAGATTTATGGAGAAAGCAGAAGCAAACGAGTATGTTGATGTTTGTCTATTCTCCCTTTGTTCTAATTTATATGATTCGGTTTGATTCGACAAAGAGTTCAAAAAGAAAAAAAATTATTTTGAAACTTGTAATTTTAAATATAATTAAGTTATAGATTTTTTGAAATTTATAGTCTTAAACATATTATAATATTGGACAGTTATAGAAAATAAGAAGGTCAAATTAAATAATTTTTTAATGTAAAAAGTTATTACTCCATTTTTATGAACAAACTAATAAGAAAACATGGTAGTTTTAGGAGGGGTGGGGATATATAGAGAGCATAGTGGGATTAATGAAGGAAGTGGTCATATCCAAAGGGTATTTGGAGCTATTTTTTCAATACATTAATTTGTATCTTCATGGAACCTGACAATGCCACACAAAAGCAATATTGATTTATGTACGTACTTTACTTATAAACTCCCTAATTTATATAACAAAATTTTTATTATAAGGGCAAAACCTTGTAATATCACGGTTCAAAGTCTTAGTATTGCTTAAGATTATGAGCTATATTTTCGGCTAGTGTGGCAGTTATAAATTAAGCACAATAACAAGCTAAGATTTGAGAGTTTAAGTTTTGTAAAATGACAGTAAATATTGACCTATTACTGTTGAAATTGTCAAAAGTCCCACATCGGTGGATGACAATTTTGAATGAGAATTTCACCCTATAAAAGGAGGCCTAATGTTTAGGATTGAAGTACACCTCTCATTTGCTTTTTTTATCTTCTTAAGGCATTTGTATCTTCTCTCTTTAGTATTATTTCACTTGTAATTTTGGAGTGGAATAAAATATTGATTGTGTCCGAGGAAGTAGGCAAAATTGGCCGAACCTCGTAAATTCTGGTGTTCTTTTATTATTGTCTTATTGTCTTGTTTATTATTTAGTGGTTGTCATAATTTTTGGTATAGTAGTTGTGACTCATTCACACTATATACATTTGGCTTCCGCAACAAT